CTGGGTCAATGGGGGGTGTTGCCGGTGGCTGCTCTGCAGCACGGTGTTGGCTGGGCAGAAGTGCCAACGTTCTGAATGCCGTCAGGCATTTCCCACAGCTTTATCTGTAATGATAAAATTACTCTAGAACATTAATATCCCCGTTTTCATGCTTTAGAAGCAACTTAGTAATTTGGTGACTTTACAGTTCACAAGGTTATGTTTAAGGACAGCTGTAAAAATGGGTATAACCCCGATATTAACGGGCATCCCTCTAATGAACCTGGTGCTGTGACCACTGCCATCTCACTTTCAGAGGCAGGCGTGGAATCAGCCCTGAGAGCGTGGGGTACAGGCTGCCACGGAGCGTGTGAGCCTGAAAACACCCTTCACTGCCCCTGCCTGGTGTCCAGGTGATACCTTGCGCCTCTGCCTTTTCACCTGGCAGAGAATGGATTGAGAGGAAATCAGCTAAACTCCTCTGGCATGTGGGAAGCCCTCCCCAGCGCTTGGGGTTGTGGCTGTTTGCTTGGTGCTCTCCCTGAGAAGAGCTTATTAAAACTATCGGATTGAAATCTCAGGGCTGTTCATTGCTTCAGTGGCTGCGTGGCAGCTCGCCATGCTTTCCCCATCTGTTTGGGCTGGGAATTTACATAGGGAGTCCCAGAAGGCTTTTGCTAATGTTTCAGGTTTCTCTGTGTTGAGTTTAAATAATTCATATTCTCTAAGGAAAAATATTTGAAGTAATTTAATGGACATAATTAAGTTTTTCCCCCTTCTCACAGAAAGCAGGTCATTAGTCACTCTCTTTGGAGCAATGTCTGATGTCTGGTCAAATATCAGAAAATAGTTTTTAAGGGTTTTTAAGTTTTTGAGGGTTTTTTTAAGAGCCCTGCATTAGTATAGCACTAAGTGAATGACTTTAAAAGGTTTCTGATGAAAGCATCCAGGGCTGCGGAAATTCTTCAACAAGGACAAAAGCCCTTGAGCTGCAGGCAGGTAAATACAGTGGGAGTCTGGGGATGTTAAAACAGCTGGGTGATGGCACAGCAAATCTGGCTTGAGTGCCACGGTCCCGCGGTGGTGGCTTTGGAGGGCTCAACGGGTGTGAATCTGCTGGATCCTCTTTGCCTGTGAATCTCTGTGGCCACAGTCTCTGTCTTGGCTCTTGTGGCCTCGAGAGGCTGGACCCTGAGTTTGCTCATGGATGGCTTTGGGGAGCTGGGACAGCCCAGGGGACTGACCCCCCATCCCAACAGTGGCTGATGCTTCTCCAGGCTGTCTTGGGTGCCACTTTCCAGCTCCTGTCCTCACCTTTATGCTTTGATCCCCAAGGACTTTCTGGCTGTGCCGGCAGCACGGGATGGGCGAGTGTCTGACATCAGCCGCCTGTTTGTCACCCTGACTGTTGGGATGACCCTGCAGGACCTGTCCACTGTCTGGATCTGGGATGGATCTGGCGTGGTACTTAGGGCCAAGTGCGTGGTGCAGCTTCTTGGGTCTAAATCAGAAGGAAATTGGACAGCAGAAGCAAAGGGGAGGTTTCCCCGGCCCATCTCGTGGCTGGGCACTGCCCACCATCATGGTGCTCTGAAGTTGGGGCACACGATGATGTCCTCCAAGGGGATGACCAGTGCCCCGAGGCCACGCTCGCTGGGCAGAGGGGCCCTTCAAGGCCCTTGGTTGGTCTGACCCCAGCCCGGCTGGTCAGGGGCGCTGAGGGGCTTTGCTGGTGCCGGGGCTGGTGCTCGTGGGCGGCAGCGGTCAGGGCTGTGCCTGGTTGGCAGCGCTGGCGGCCACGGCGCGTGGCCGGGAGGTGTGGGAGGTGTGGACCTTCTCTGCAGGAAGAATGAGCTTTATTTCCCGCTGAACTGGTGAAGCTGTTTGAACTAAATCACAAAGCTAGTGTCCCTGTAACCGCGATTTAAGCGCTGAAATCATCCTGCTGCTGAGAGAACGTTTGTATCCTCACACTGAAATTAGGAGAGATGAAAAAAGACTAATAGGATTTACAGCGCTGCTAATTACTGCTGCTAAAAAGCTGATCCTTTTTCCTGTCCTTCTCTCTATCGCACCACTGCTCTGAAGAAGCCCCCCTGTACCTGGCAGCTTCCGTGGGTTTGCACGTTTCTGATGAATCATTTCAGTGATCTCTGAAATGCAGCCATCTCGAGGGTGGGACCGAGCAGCTTTAGCATCTGCTTAACATCTACTCTCAAATAAGAGGAGCGGTTCTGTCACTGTAAATACACTTAGGCTGCTTTTCTCATCTAATACACATCTAGAGCCAGATGCTGCTCTGTACTTACTCTGGTCTGAAAACCCATTTCCAGCAGATGCACGGCAGGCGAGTGAGAAGCCCTGTCGCACTGTGGACGATCACCTGTCCATCCCTATTTTGTTTTCGTTGGGCTCCTCAGCACTGATGTCTTTTTACCAGTAATTTTACCAGGCTTGAGCTCTGGCCCCTTTCATGCCATTTACTTTGTGGTGCATTGCAATCGCGTCTGTGTAAATGAAACCCTGATGTGGAGGATCTGCCTGACATGTGCTGTAGAGTTGTCTCTTTCTGCTTCATCTTTTCCATCCAATCCCTTGTAATATCTGCAAGGAGAATTTCAACAAAGCCCAAGGTTAATATTTACCAGCCAGATTTGCTGCAAATGAGACAACTTCAACCAGACATTGAATTAATATGATGGAGACCAGTTTCCAAAAATAGCTGTCAGCCACTCTTCTTTGACAGAAACATAAATTTGTGCTGTAGCTAAGTATCCTTCTCAATTTATTTCCTTCCACTTCTGACAGCAGTGTTGGGAGCTGGCTTTGTGCTGCCGGGGTGCTGGGAAGTGCCCCGTGCTGGGCTCTCCTCCACTGGCATCACCCACGTAGGGTGGCCTGGCACCGTGCTCGTTCCCATTGACGATGGTCTAATTAGCAGGCTCTATCCCTTGCCTACGCAGAGTGATGCTACTGAAGCCAATTCTGGCTCCTCTCCCTGCTGTGGCTGGGGCTCTGGGGGGCTGCAGTTCTCCCCGGGATGGGCTCTGGTGGGTGTTGATCCTCTCTCAGAGGCTCCAGCGATGCCTTTGCTGCCTGCCCGGGCAGCCTGTCCCAGCACACAAATTGCCCTTGCAGTCACTTAAGCTTATAACTTCTTGTCCTTGCGCCAGGGAGCAGCCAGAACGCTTCTCTCGTAGCAGATCGTGCCTTGCTACAGATACCTCCGGAAAGTCGGCGTTATCTTTCCTGTGCTTGGCTTCTTGAATAGTAGGGAGACAAATGGATAAGCAAAGCCTTTGAAAAGATCATCCTGCCTGTTGTGAGTAGCAGGTTTGTGGGCAAAACCACAGCTGTAAATGCTGTGAAGTAAGAGTAGGTTTTTCATTGCTGCCAGGCATTCCTTGGACATAAATGTGATCAACATTTTGAGCAAATTTAAAAGGAAGTTTTTCGGCAAAAAAGAGGATTTGGATAAAGTCCTTGATTTTTATTTTCCAAAGGGAAGTGCTACAAAAGAGAAAATACCTGTTTTTTAAGAGAATGGTCTTTCTGTCTGTGTCCTGTTGTACCTCCTCTGCTGGTACTTGCCTTTTTGCTGCTGAGCATCACAAGCTGAATGTGGCAGAGAGATCTCTGCTGTTGGACCCGTTGGTTTTGTGCTCGCCCATTGACTGCCATGACGAGTGCCTTTGCCAGGCTGCTGGTGTCTGATGCCGGCGCTTGTGTCTCCCCTTCCTTGTTCAGCCCCCATGTCCACGGTGGGAAGGTGAGCAGAGGTGCAGGTGGAGGGGCTGTGCCAAGGGCAGGAGCCCAGGTGGCTTCGCAGAGGAGCGTGTGCCTGTGCTGCTGGGGACGAGTTTCTGCTGGGGGAGCCGGTGATGTGCAGGGTGGGGGTCCCGTGGGCAGCTCTTGCCTGGGGAGCAGCGGAGTGTGGCAGCACCCGGCTGCCAGGGTGGGCTGCAGCCTGGGGAGGTGATGATGCCTTTCCTCCTGCCAGTGAATTGCAGACATTGACTTTAAAAAAAATATATATTCCCACAGCAGTGGCCTGGCCCTGAGAGCTCCTGACACCATCTTTCTCTTCATGACAGCGAGCTGAGAGCGGGGCATGTGTCCTTGTGAGTCTCCAGGGCTGCGTGGCTGCCTCACGTGTCCACAGCTCCGCTGCGAGGGGCCGGTGGGCTGCGGCTGCGGCTCGGCAGGACGGGTGGAAGCAGTCTGGGTGCTCCCAGCTCTGGGGTGGAGGTGAGGTGCCTCACACAGCCCGAGTCCTGCCTGTTGTTCTGGGGATCACCCACTCTAGTTGCCTGGTAGGAGAGAAGGAGGAAGGAAAGTGTCTAAAGACCGTATGGGCTGGAGGTTTCCTGAGCGGGCTGGCTCCTTCTGGAAGGTGTCCTGTGCTCTGCATGGCCAGGGCTTGCTCTTGCTGAGTGAAAGTTTGAGGTGGGAGTAGGAATTGGTACTGGTAAGATGCTTTCCTGTGCCTCACGTGTCCCATCAAGGCATCATGTCACTACAGTGTCCTTAGATAGAAAATAAATAGTATAAATAGTTCAGTTTGAAAGTTAGAGAAATTGACAATAATGAGTTACAGTGTTTTGTCATTTAGTGCAAAGATTCCTCCTGAAGCCCAAGGTCTGCTTTTCTATTTAAATACAAAAAAGATGGATCCAAATGTACAGTGCTTGGGGCTTTTGATTTGTTTCATCTTTTATACATTAGCTTATAAATGTGTGTGTGCTTCTGGAGTTTATTTTATCTTCTGAGTGATGTTTGAGTATTATGCATAATAAGTTTATTTTTTCTCCTGGGATTCTGTAAGTTGCACAAAGCACCAGGTTTTACTTTCATCATTGATGCAGCCACCGGTGTCCTGGAGACAGACGCGGCGCTGGCGGGGCCGGGGCTGATGGGCAGGTTTGGCAGCACTTGTGAGGGCTGGAGCTGGGGACGCCGTGGCCGTGCTGGGTGGCAGCGGGGTGGGGAAGGGGACTGCACGTCAGGTGGGGGCTGGGGGAGTAAATCTGCGTGAATAATCACTGAGGAGATTTATACTTCAGTTTCCTCTCTGAATTATGGTTTGGCTTTCTCCTCCTGGGTCTTGTGTTCTAGCAGGACGTGCCTGGAGCACTTTGGTGACCTGGACAAGTGACAGTTTGAAGGCGAGGAGAGCTTTGTACTAAATTAATTTAGAGCATCCTCCTCCGTCCGTCTATTAGCAGCCTCTGTGGTAGCCGTGATGCCTTATGGTAGATGCTGCTTTCTGTCAGTCATGCATATGAAACACCCATGTAGAATATGCTTTCTCTTCAGTCTCTTTTTGAAGTAATGATCAAGCTTGGAGATATTTATTATTTGGGATTGCATATTATGTTGCTGCTTTACAGCGTGTCTGAAATAATTACGGCTGTGGAAATTGTGGCAGAGCCAGTCACAAATTACTCTGTGACACTTAATTTTAGAGCAAACTACTCAGAAAATTACAAGCATCACAATTTGTTTGCAGAATTCTTGTCAGGCTTAAGGTTATAGATCCCTGGCTGCTAGATGGGCACGCTGGACGCGGGGAAGCACGTCTTGCCCATGGGGAAGGGAGTTTGTGTGGGATAAAGCACTTGGCAGGAGTAGGGTGGGTTGGAGATGCAGGTCAGTCAGTCCTTTGCAGGGAATCATTTGGTTGATACATCAGGGAACTGAAAGAGACAACAGCAAATTGCAGTTGGCTCAGTGGATGTGCCTGCTTTAGCGTGTCCTTGAGGAACATTCCTGCAGCATAAAGAGCAATTGCTGCCGTAGCCCTGAATTCAAGCAAATGCATTCTTTTAGATATTTCAAGACTATCTTACTAAATATTCTTGGGTATTTAATTTTCTTTTGGATTAAATCACTGAATTTAATTTCAGCTATTAAGAGCTCATTGTTGGAGATGCACAAAGAACTAGCCTCTGGACATAGGTTTTCATTTCAGTGCTCTTCAAATTAGTTAACGAGGGCAAAAATTATAGAGTAGCTTTGTCCTAAAGGTTTCAGAGATGCTGGGAACATGTTGGACTGTAGGCTGCTGAAAAGTGTTATTGAAAACCAGTTATTAAAAAAAGTTTGCAGAAGACAAGCTGTGTTTGAATTCTCTCGAGTGGCACAGCCTGAAATACCTGTCCTGGCAGGCAAGGTGCTGAGGTGAGAGGAGCTGGAGACCTGATCCAGCGCTCGTATCGATCGCTCCCTCACGCTGACTTTGTCCCTCTTGTCCAGACGTGGAGATTGGACGTGGTTTCTTTCCCTTCCTCCCCGTGGGGCTGTGTAACAGCATCGCTCTCTGCCTGCGAGGCATTGATTACAGTTTTTGCAGTAAGACAAGGCAGGGTTGCAACCCCAGCCTGTAAGGGGAGGGCAGGAGCCTCTCTGCTACCCCAGGACATTCATTGACGAGGCTCCTTCACCAGCTCAATACACCACTGAAACTTTATTCTGCTGCTGTGTTTTGTGCAAGGTCCCCTGTCTGGTTTTGGGCAACTTCTCCTTGTGGGCAGGCGCTCGCTGACACCGTCCTTCCAGGGTACCCGCTCCGATGCTGATCTCTCTGTTCCAGCGCCGGCTGCTTGTCGCCGGCTGCTTGTTCCCCCCCCAGCCACTGTCTTTCCTAAATAGCATTTTTATGAATGCTTACTTCAGCAGGGAAAATTAACACGTGTTAAAAGCAGATGAACTTTGTCAAATACAATTTCATGATAAAAAATGGCAAGGAATTGATTTTGGAAGACAACCGAGTTGTAGTGTTAATTATAAATGGCTGTATAGGCGTTTTGAGCGAAACTGCAGGCGTTATTGATTCATGCTGGCACGCACGCGGCTCTTCCGCTAGCTGCAGGAGTTCAGCAGCATGAAGGAGCTCAATAGTGTTAACACAGGCAATATTCTTCCTCGTTTTTGTTGTTTGGTTTGGTTTTTTATTTTCTTGGAAGATACTTGCAAGGTTTGTGGGTCAACAAGCTGACCTGAGACAGTTTTGGGAGGGGAAAAAAAGAAGCGTCATCTCTGTTGCGTGGTGTAGGTTCAGGTACGAGTCGTGGTGGTCTGTGACCACATCCAGGTCCAGGAGGGGAAGGCAGGTCATGGCCGAAGGTCAGAGGAGGCCGTGCTGGCATCTGTTGCTGGTTCTGTGTGGGTGGGCTGGGAAGTGCAGACCCAGTGCGGCATCCTGAAACCATCGTTAAACCTGAACTGCACCCCTGGGGGGATCTTCAGGTGAGTCCTCCTCTGTCCAGGGCACAGCACAGCACGGCTGGAGAAACAGAGAAGGGAACGTGCACACACACACACATGTTTTTCCCAGCTATGAAGATGAGCAGGAAGGATGCTGGATGGGTTTTGCCTGGTTTTTTTTGCATTAGCACTAACATGAAGTGGTCTGGGTTAAGTAGCTTTATTCCTGAATTCATGTTATGAAGCATTTTCAGCCCAGTATTTAATCTTCCATCTGTGCTCATTCTGTTAATATTTTATGCTAAGCCTCAGTATTCACTTAGGTCTCAGCCCCTTCCCCTCTGCAAAATGATGAAGACTTTAATTAGAAGAGACTCATAAGCTGCAGGAAATGGATTTCTGGTTTTCCTGGGCCCTGTGGCGTGTCCGGGGCAGTGTTGCTGGGTGCTCCCATACTTCTGCTCACATTTGTCTGTTGAAACCCACTGTGTAATTTGGCAAACATTTTGCAGCCGATGCAGTTACGTTGTGCAGAGAAGCTGGAGGCTCGCACAGGCTTGGGGAAGGACGGACGGACAGACAGACGGCTTCACTGCCTGCGCTGGCAGCGGGATCAACACTGCGTGCAGGTGCAGGAAAGTCACAATGGACTTGGCTGGATGGCCGAGGGTCTTGTAGCCAGGCTGGAGCTGGAGAGCCTCTGCTCCGGCTTCCTCTGTGAAGCAGCATTTGCTGCTGCGGTGTGTCCGTGCACAGGCTTCTCCTATGAGCAGGGACCTGGAGATCCTCCTCTTCTTCCCACTGCTGCCGGCATCTGCAGCATCTCCCCGGGACATGGACACAGCCACAGCTACCTGGTCCTCAGGTGTGCTGTCCCTGGGCGAGTGGCAGAGGGGGAATTTCTTTAAACTTGCTGAGTTAGAGGGCTGTACCTCTGCTCGCTCACCCAGCCTGCCTGTGCTTTTAAGGACAATTGTCCTTTTCCTGGGAGGCGAGTTGCTGCTGATGCAGTTACAGTCGGAGAGGTGCTGCTCGGCTTTTGATTAGATTGCACATAGAAGCCGTGGGTCTGCAGGGAGGTGAGATGCTCTCTGGGCAGTAGCTTTGCACTGAGCTTAACTGCTCAGTGGATAACACCAGCCAGAGCTGTGCTGGTCCGAGAAGCTGCTGGAATAGGATGCAGTCTTTGCTCTCATTTGGTTAAAAGCCAGGTTTTTTTCTTCGTGTGCATGTAAGCCACCATGCAGAGCATTTGCAGAGGGAAGCTGTGACTCCTTAAGGGTCAACTTCTGTCTTTGGCTGTGCAGTCAGTGTGCTGGCTGGACCTCTGGAGACCCGAGTTCCGTTCTTGGTCCCGTTTGTCTTGTTTGACTTTGTGTAAATCATACAGTTGTTCTGTCCCAGTTTCATGCTTGTCAGTGTGGTGAATGTTTCCATGCCTCAAAAATAAAACAAAGGTTAACTTAATTGTTTGAGGTAGCCAACTGTTGCAGTGATGGGTATCATAGGTGCACAACATAAAAGGCTGCTGACCAGCTGGTAAATACTGCCAGGGTGATGAATAACTTCATTTTACTGCTGCATGCAAAATCTTGGCTGTGCTTTACTTGAACAGCAACTACAGTCAACCCTGGAGCTTACATAGCCTGTGTCCTGCAGCCAGGTTGTCCTTCTTGATGCACTTAGTGAGTCACTTTTAATCACTGTTCATCGATTAACAAGATAAAGCTGCTCAAACTCTGATGCCCTTTTGCCGATTGATCGGGATCTCTTCTGCCATTTTTTAAGCCTAAAACTTGAACACACAGTTAACTGTGGCTTAGAAGATGTTGGGATCCTTGCTGGTGAAGGAGCAGCTTCTGCATCCTTCTAGCTGTGTCTCCGAGTCCCTGGCTGGAGAGGAAGGTTGTGCTGAGGAGCTGCTGGGGAAGAATCTAGTTGGCAGACTTCATGGTGCTGTGAGGTGGAGATGTCTGAACTGCTGGGGAGGGAAAATGAAAGCTGTCCTATGCCAGTTGAATAGGAAACCATGCATTTTACACCTCTGCATCCTCAATTGCCCCTGCTTTGCCATTGGCACAGACTGAGTGTGAGAGGGGATGTTGCCTCCTGCTCTCGATAGAGCCGTCTGCTCTTGTCCGAGGAGCTGCGGCAGATGAGTCGGTAAGAGAAACCCTTCCCGTGGGTGCATCACGCCGGGTAATCTGCCAAGCTGCAGCTCCAATCAATGTTGCTTGTTCTGCTACTAGTCAGATCGTGTGTGCGTGCAGTGTTGTGTCAGGAGGGGAACGTGCGCTCTCCCTGTCAGTGAAATGAATAAGGCATGGCTGGTGAACAGGGGGTAGCTTGTGTGGGCAGCGATGATGGAGCTGGAGGGAGGCAATTAATCTCTCTGACCCATCCAGCTGCTCCTCTTTGGCTCTAGGAGAATGTATTATTAAATTTTATTATTTAATATTTATTAAGTTGCAGTAGTACCAAAGGGCAAGAAATAGGATAGAAAATAATGTACAAAAAAGAGAATTTTGTACTATAAATTGATGGCCTCGTCTCTTGAGAGCTGCCATGTACCCACTGCCAAAACGAGCACTGTGAAATAACAGGGACACCTAAACCAGCTGGGGACCAAGAAAAGCACTTGTAGGATGAGGTGGAAGAGGGTGGGAGTTTATCTGAGAAAAGAAGTGGAGATGCACACATGATGTGTCACATGTGCTGGGGTACTTTTGTTCTTCTCAAGTGTAAGATTCAGACAACCAAGGAACAAAATTAACAAGGAAGCCCCTGGCCAAACTGCGCCCAGGCTCCTCGTGGATCGTGATGCCGACATTTCTGGGAAATGCAAATCGAGGTGTTTTGTCCAGTTATTAACTGACATCTCTTCTGACAGACACTTTTGTAAACTTACTTCTCCTAGTTATTAGAAAACAAGGAGGAACAGCCTGAAAGATGTTTCTAATTGCAAACGTTCAGTTGCCTCTGTGAGATGTCAAATGGGTGTGAGCGTCAGGAATCCGAGGAACGGCAGCAGCGTGCGCTGGGTTTAGTGCTCAGGTCCCATCAGGTTTGTAAACAAGATTGATTTTCCTCTTTTGCCTGACAGAGGGTGCGAGCTGGAGTCTCGTGCCAGCGTTCGGCTTTGATGCTGTAACGAGATGGGCTTCTCCCCGTGGGGAGGGATGAGCTGGAGCCGCTGCAGACAGAGGTTGCAGTAGATGTGCTGCACCGAAGCCCACGAGCCCCAATCCCAGTGTCTCCAGTGACCTCTGTGGGGTCCCAGTGTCCATCTCAGTCCCCAGCTCAGCTGGCCAGAGCCCACTGGTGAGGCTGCCCTTCGTGTCTGGGCCACTGCAGCACGCGCTGAAATGCTTTGTGTTGTCGGGTTCAGCTGGAACCACAGCCAAGAGGGTCCCAGGAATAAATAACCTGCTAATTTTGGTTCCCTCATTTTTTAAAAGTTTTGGATTTTTTATTCTCCATTTTAGCAATTTAACTCTTCTCTTTTGCTCTCGAAATGTAATGTTGAGTGCTCATCAATTGTAAAGTTGCAGTTTCCATTCCAGATACAAGGAAGTCTCTCTTCATTACTTGGGTGTGACTGGAAAGGGCTTGAGGAGGCCAAATCTGCTGCTTGCTGTGGGCTTTGCTTGCGTTGGGTGACACAACAGCACAAGATCTTGTCTGACAAGATGCAAAGCAGCTCTTGAAGGGCTGTATCTGTTATGTAAGAAAAGCAAAAACCTCTCGTGTACGTTGCTGCTCCCAGCTCTGCCAAACCACTGCCTGCCGTGTGCCAGCGGCCGGGGGAGGAAGGGACCGCGGGGAGCACAAGCCTCAGCCGCGGTGCTGCCATCCCTCCCCGCGTCTGACTGTGGGGCACTGAATTCCTAAAGGTGTTTGTGGTAGGTGAAATAACCTCCCCTTAAATGTTCACCCATTTTCAACATCCCAGGAAGGATCCTCTCCGCCCTGTGCTGTGTCTAATGCTTTGTCCTCAGATCACAGCTGTAGCTGCCAGTTTTACATCATGCTAAAAATTAATGAACCAGAGTGCACTGTGGAATAATCTGCTTTAAAAGGAACAGTCTCAGCAGTCAACTCCTTAAAAATGATAAGAGAGGGGACTGCATTAGTGGAGCTGTTCATCTAGGAACTTTAGAAGTGATTAAGCTTTAATATTCAGGGAGCTGATGAAGGGGGGGAGCAGACAGCAGCACCACACCAAGAAGCTGAAGAAGCCAAGCAAAACCTGAGTGCTTCTGCTTGGCTTGAAATCCAGCTGAGACAGACTCCTGCCCCCCGGGGTGACCCCTCAGCGTGGAGGGGCTGCCAGCCCATGGGGAGCACAGCACAGGCAGGAGCTCTGCGCAGGCCACCCGGCAGTGACCAGCACACATTTGCAGGCTGCTTCCTTTTCAAGTGTTTTAGGGTCAAACTGAAGCTGTTGCAAACTGCTTTAAGGGATTTTGCAGCCTTTTTCTTGTTGTTTCTGTAAAGTGATACATCTTTCATGCAGAACTAGCTTCTGGGTGTCCTGGTAGGGGTATCAGACACAGGTTGTGTGCTGCTTGTGGTAAAGATCAAGCAAATCCTTGACCAGCATGTGAATTACTTGTTTGTGTATCAAAGGTGCTTTTCAAAGGATGAGGGTAGCCTGTGTGTGGCCTATAAAAGCAAATTTACACAACTGGTGTTTAACTTCAGTACATACTGCAGGTGTGTAATCCGCAGCGATAAAGCTGTAGCTGCCGGTGACACGGCCGTGTGGCTGGGGTTTCTATATGAAACTGCTGACTAATGAGGTCTCCAGCTTCTCCATTTTCAATATTCCTCCCCTTTTGGGCTTGTTGCTGAGTCTTGCTGTGGCTCCCATGTCATTTCTGCTCTGCTCTAAACCTGACTCTAAACCCTAAGCCATGTGTTATCCTGCATCTTTCTGCAGCCACCTCATTCCCCGTGTCCCCCCAGAACCTCCAGCTCCCTTCATGCGTTGCTCTAGCCGATGTCTGACCGTTCCTCCAGCCCATTGAAAGAGTCTCCCA